GGCCCACCACCTCTCAGACAACTTGCCACATGTGTAGGCACATGGTTGCAACTTTCTCTTTTCATTCCTCTGGAGTAAAACTGCTGCTACTGCCATATTGCTGGCAGCCGTGGTAGCGCAGTGGTTAGAGTGCTACTTCTGCTGACTGCTGATTGCCAGCAGTTCAGCAATTCAAATCCCACCAGCTCAAGGTTGACTCAGCCTTCCCTCCTTCCGAGGTGGGTAAAATGAGGACCCAGATTGTTGGGGCCAAGAGGCTGACTCTGTAAACTGCTTAGAGAGGGCTGGAAAGCACTGAGAAGTGGGATATAAGTCTAAGTACTATGGCTATTGCTATCTGCCTGGATCACGAAAGGCTCATCTGGGTTTGGGTGCTTCAAGACTGGTTCAGCAGCAAACAGCCGCTTCAGCTTTTCCAAGGCTGCCTGGCATTTGATGGACCAATTTAATGGCTGCAACACCTCAGGGCTGCAAGAGAAGACTTTTGGTCACCAAGGGAGTAAAGGAGGCCTAGTGTCAACTGTCCAGTTGGCATTCACAGAAAAAGAAACTCCATTATTTTTCCACGAATGTAAACATTGAACAAATGTATATTGGCACAGAAGCAGCGAAACCTGTGCAAATGCATGCATAGTTCATGTCCCCTTTCCCCACGGGCCACACCCAGTCCATTATGCTGACCAATCATTTCTGTTGATTTTATTTGGGGAACCAGATGATTGCGCTGTGGCATCCACTCCAGTGGTGGGATTCAAAAAAATTTTGCTACCAGTTTGGAAGGCGTGGCCTGGCTTATCGGGCATGGCTTGGTGGGCATGGCGGGAGAAGAATACTGCAAAATCTCCATTCCCTCCCCACCCCACTAACCTGCTTTCCAGCTCTGTTCTCCTGTGCAGGGCAGCCAAAGAAGACCCAGCCGATCAGCTGGGACTCACTGGGAGGCAGAGAAGAGATGGGGTTGGCGGGGCCAGTCAGAGGGGGGATTGGCCTCTTCTCCGAACTACTCAAAATTTCCGCTACTGGTTCTCCAGAACTGGTCAGAGCTGGCTGAATCCCCCCTCTGGTCTGGGCGTCTTTGGGGTCAAGCAATGTCTCATCCTTGGAGGCCATTCCCTCCATCATTGCATTCCAACCCACCATCACCCTCGTTCTTTGTCAAGCTGCAAGCCAAGTGGAATATAGGTGAACGTTCGAGTCAGTCTTGACCCTGAGGATGGAGCTTCCTGTGGGAGCTCCGGCATGGGCCTGAACTCAGCCCTATGGCCACTTTGAAAGAGCTGCTGTGCACCGAGTTGTTGTATGCCCCTTGGATGAAAGGTAGGAGCTTGGCCCAAATAGTCTGCTGATAATTTATATAATGGCGCAGGTATTGCTCTACTAGTGACTTGCTACACTCAGCCACCTCATTGGTACTCGGATCATAGGTGGAGCTAAGTTCCTGAGAGAAGCCTATCCATTTTAAAAAATTCCTGCCAAAGTTTTGCAGTGAATTTACATCCCCATATCTGAGATAATGTGCTTTGGGACCCCATGTAGTCTGCAGAGGTGTTGCCCAAACATCTTAGCTAGAACCAGGCAGGAGGAATCGTGGGACCCACCACGAAGTGTGCTTGCTTCAAAAACAGGCCAAGTGGGAGGAGGACTGGGGAGCACATCTTTCTCCCCGCTCAGGACTCCATTGTTGAGGGGTCTCCAACGCTGGCAACTTTAAGACGTGTGGATTTCTGGGAGTGGAAGTCTTCAGTTGCCAACATTGGAGAGCCCTGCTATAGATGAAGCGAAAGAGGAGAGTCACATGTAGGCAAGGAATTCTACAGCAACAACTATCCATGGTGACTGGTTTAGCATGTCACAGAGCCCAGTGATTGGGGGGGGGGCTCTAAAGAACCAGGGGGGCAGGTTGTGGCATTGCAAAGAAAAGCGCTTTCCAACCCACCTCCTCCATTTCGCTTTCCTCCTCTCCCATCAAATGCCGCTGTTTCTCACCGTCTGTTGCAATCTGTAAATTGTGCTTCGTGCTGGAACGTTGTGTGATCCCAGCCACTTGTGTAGTGGATGAAGATGAAGAGAACCTGCCCAAGACCATGGATGGAAAGCCCCCCCCCCCAGTCTCCTTCCATTTGGACGTGTCCTTCAGTACGCAGGGCCTGTTGGGCTTCGCTCTTGCCTGCTGCTTCCGGTTTCTGATTTCCTGGCCTTCCTGGAGCTTCTCCCCGTCAACAGCTCTGGAACCATTAGGATGGTTCCCCTGGAGCCCTTGCCTGGGAGGACGCAGGGAGTTTGTCCCAGAGGGGTTGGGGTCTGCCGCAGGGTTGATCTCTGCTCCCCAAATGTAGGGCTGCATTGGCCCCTTCCTGGAGAAGAGGGGTGGCTATGGAGGGGCCCCTTCCTGATGTCGCTTCGGGGCCTGTGGGGGCATCCAAGTAGGAGCCCAACTTCTAAAGGGGCTGCCCCCAACACGGATCCCCTCATCAATCCCTTTGGCCAAGTTGGCCTTCTGGTCCACCCTTTCCTCCAACAGAAGACTGGAACTAACAGGCCTGAAGCAGCTGTAATTTTTCATCTGGGTCTTTCCGGGGATTTGAGCAGCAAACAACTTAGTCACCCAGAAATCCGGGGAGGTGAGTTGAGGGGAGGGGGGAGTTTGTCTTGTTGAGAGGAAAATGCAGCAATTAATTTGTCGGCACCCGACACCTTCCTCCCCTGCAATTAAATCAAAGGTTCCTAAAATGGACTCATCCCTCATCTCCTGGCAGCTCCCCCGAGCCCTGCTGGGCCTGCAGTGACACCCAGCAGCCTGTGCTGCAACGCTGCCACGTCAGGCTGCAGTGAGCGGAGCCAGCATCCAGCAGCACCAAGAGCAAGGCCCCTGTCCATTGGCAGGAGGGCTTGGAGTACGAGGGAGACACACACCCCCGGTCTTCCAACCGCAAGGCAACCTGTGGAGCCAGCACCGAAGGCAAGGACCCCCGGGGGCCCAAACCTTCCAGGGCCCTTGGTGCAGGGGCGCTTTGGAGCATCGCAAGGGGCATGTCTCGCCCAAAGCTCGGCCTTTGGCCTCCCTGGACCAGGCACTCTCCTGCTGCTGGGATGCCTTGGGAGGGGAGGGCATTTTCTGAGCAAGGATACTCGGAGGAGGCAGCAGGTAGAGAGGCTTCCTTGGGCCTCTTTGGAGGTGGGGTTGTACCGGTTCTGTCCACTTCTGTAGAACCGGTAGTTCTGAAGAGCAGCAGACAGAGAGCATGCAGAGAACCAGTTCTATGTCTGCTGCTCTTTTGGCCCGCCCGCCCGCCCGGGCTCTTACCTGAACTTTATTTTCCTGTGTTTTCAACCGCAGCTGCTTTGCGCGATTGAAAAAGCAGGAAAAAAAGGGCTTTTCCAACCGCTGCACACTTGCACGCAGCGCTGCTCGGCTGTCCGGGCAGCTCAGCAGGTCGTAAATTGCACTCACGCGACACACACACACGCGTGCATGCATGCAGAGCAACAGAACCAGTAGTTCTCAAAGTCAAAGGACCACGAGGAGTTAAGCAAGAAGGCAAAAGAGTTTGGTGGGATTTTCATCCATGCCTCCAATTGAAGGACATGGCCTGAAGATGGAATGGAAGGATTGTGGAGTGAAACTGTTGGTTCAGGGGTGGGGAACTTGAGAAAACTTTGTATTCCTGGACCACAATCTGTGCCATCTCTAGGTAGGGTTTCTGCAAGCAAGAGATGAGTTGAACCTCACAGAGACTGGCCAGGACGTGTCTGGAAGACATCTTACTAAACTCAAGTCATGTGGCAGACTTTAAATCAAATCTGGAGTGGGAGGGAAATCAGAAGGCAGTCAAAGTTCCTTGAATTTTAGGAGCCTGGCTCAGGGACGGGGGTCCCTCCTGCAGGCTGAGTTCTCTGGAGCAAGACCAGCCCAAAGGGGAGGCATCCAAACCTCTCCAGGGAGGTCCAAACCTCCCCCCTCCTTCTCCTTACGGCGAATGGCAGGTCCTTTTGGAGAAAACCAAACGATGCTGGGATCATTTACAAGGGACTAAAAGTAAACAAGTCCTGTTATGTACACACACGCATTAAGGGCGCTTTCTGAGGGGAGCCTTGACACACTAGTCTGGGCCAAGGGCATCTTCAGCCTGAAAGCGGCTGCCGGGCAACTGCTCCTTATAGATCTGGTACAATAATACCGTCCTTAGAGCGCATGTCGTGGACCCATGGAGCCCATTAACCCCAAGTTAAACGAATAGCTTTGGAAAGTGGAACCAAGACATGGAAAAGCTACCAGTGGCTGCTTGCCAAGATGGCTGTATCTCACTCCAGGAGTCGCTTCTGTTTATGGGCCACTGGAGGCTTCTGGGCGACTCTGCAGCCTGGTTGAACTGACTGGTGAATGGAGCTGTGAAGTCTTTTGAGCTTGGGGGTTGTCTTAAAGATGCTTCATTACCCAATTCAGCACTGATGATGTTACCTAGCTGGGTCGTGAAATGTCTGCAAGAAAACTACCAAGCTGCAAGAGCACCAAAGACCCTTCACTTCAACCCTGAGCTCCAAATATTCTCGCCTATTGGTACATTCAAGGAGCTCTGGACTCCCCCGCTAGTTATAGATGGTGGGAGCTCTCCATGGTCCTACAAAAAGCAGCTGCTCAGTTGGAGCCTACAGCGCCTGCTTGTGAGTCCAACTCTTCCCAAGAGTCTCGGAAGGTTGAAGTCAGGATGCAGTTGAGAAGGTTCTTGATCTCAGACGCACCCCGGCACCCGGCTGGCTCCTAAGTCTAAAGTTGTTTTCTCCAAGGCAACTTTAGCGTCAACCAGGTCCTGACAATTATCCCCCTGTTGCATCGCCCTTCCTGCTTTCCCCCAGTTACTGAAATGGCCCCTGGTAGAAAGAGATGGGGATGACCTGGTCTGCGGCCTTGCAAGAGATATATCTGAGTGTCAGGGGGCAAGGCAGGAGTTCTGCTTCATTTTGTGTTTTTCAACAAGACACAGTCATTTTTAAAAATATATATATTTTTACAGTGACACAGTAAATCCAGATTACAAAGGATGATAATAACATCAGTGTGCCTGGTCCCAGGGAAAGTGTTTCAAACCACCTTCCAACCACTTCAAGCTGATTTTAACTGAACTAATTCATTTCCATTAGTTCCAGTTCCAAAGTTAATACAGGTAGAAACAGTTGTGCACGAGTTTTAAATAAAGAGGGGAAAGATTAGAAGACTCTGCCTCCAAAACAATATCCAAGTCAGCCTACTGTGGCAGCTGAACTTACACACTTTTCCTGTGCAAATCATACGCTTAAAAAACAAGAAGGGAAAAAGAACTGGAAAGCTGAATTTCTAACACACGGGCTCACACACTTTGGTAACACAATTCAAAAACAGGGATTAAAAACATTGGTGGATTGTCCCCTTGGAGGAGAGTCTGCAGACCCCACCCGGCCCCTCCCAGTCAACGGCATTCACAGTCGGTCATGTGTTCAGTTAACGGGAGGAGTTCAGTGATTCTCCTGGCAAATGAGTTTCAAGTCTGATAAGGTGCAATTTACAGATTATGATGTCACAGTGCAATTCAGCAATCAAGAACTTCATTCTCAAATAAAATGCTTGACCTATGCAAAAAATCCATGGCAGAAAACAGCCACCGACAGCAAGATGATGGCGTTGATGTTGACCACGCGCCTCCACAATGGCACCTCCGTTGTGTCTGTCAACTTATGCTGCAGGGCCTCCTCCTCTTCCTTGCTCAGCTTGGGGCCCGTCTGTTCCAAGCCGCAGAACCAGTTGTAGGCTTTCTTGCAACAGTTGGTCTCTTTCTCTTGGGCTGCAAGGACAACATGGCCGATCGTTAGATGTAGCAGCCAAACCGACCCTTTCATGCCCAAAACATCCTCCTAAAGTGCCACCACCCTATTCTCATATATGTTGCTTATATGCCCCAATGTACTGTAGGGTTTATCAAATCAACTGACCATTAGTCATTCTGCTTCATATTGAAACAAATAACACTGCCAAACAGAGACTGGAAAGAATCTCTAACGAGGAGTTAGGCAAGAAGGCAAAAGAATTTGGTGGGATTTTCATCCATGCCTCCAATTGAAGGACGTGGCCTGAAGATGGGATGGAGGGATTGTGGGGTGAAACTGTTGGCTCAGGGGTGGGGAACTTGAGAAAACTTTGTATTCCTGGACCACAATCTGTGCCATCTCTAGGTAGGGCTTCTGCAAGCAAGAGATGAGTTGAACCTCACAGAGACTGGCCAGGACGTGTCTGGAAGACATCTTGCTAAACTCAAGTCATGTGGCAGACTTTAAATCAAATCTGGAGTGGGAGGGAAATCAGAAGGCAGTCAAAGTTTCTGTCCAAAGGGAGACATCCCAGATCAAGAGAGGAAGTGGTAAAAGAAAGGGGCACCCAAAATACACCAGAAGATGCAGGAGGCAAAGCTAAGAAGGCCAGTGCTGAGAGCCAGGTGCTTCTTGTACACCGGTGCTTTGAAGAATGGAGAACGAAAAGGGAGAACGTGAAGTCTTAGCGCGGGGAGGAAAGGTCATTTGATTGGTATCTCTAAAAGTTGGTGGAAGGGATCACATGACTGGAATATAAAATTAGAAAGGTATAATTTGTTGACAAGAAAAAAGCCCAAGAAGGGGAGGGGGGGAAAGGTGTCATATCATATGCAAAGCATTTCAACGCAAGCAAAGAGATTCAGGACATCAAGTGTGAAAATCTGGCTGAAAGCACCCGAGTGATAATCAAGGAAACAAGCAAAAAAAACCCAAAAAGGACCCAGGTGTGGGCGTGCTTTTCAGACCACCAACCAAGCAGGAGGTGTGACTGAAATCTTCGCAGATGGGACCCTTGAATGTCCAGGAACCCCATCATGGTTCAACCACTGGAGCATCAACTGGGAATCAACCAAAGCAGCAAGTGGCAGATTCTGTAGCTGGGGTGTTAAACTCAATTTCATTGAGGGGGGAGGGGGGCGTGGCCAGGGTGGACGTGGCCAGCTTGATGTCACTCGTGTCAGGGGCACCTGTGGCGGCCCAAGTGCTCTGCCAGCAAAAACACGCTCCAAATCTCCATTTTAGGCTGGGACAACCTCCTGCAATCCTCCGGAGCTCCATTTTTGCTAGCGGAGGGTTGCAGGAGGCCATCCCAGCCAAAAACGGAGACTTGGAGCCCATTTTCACTGACAGAGGCACTGGAGGCCGGTCCTTCGCTGTTTCCAGCATGGTCTCGTGGGCCAAATCTAAGCCAGATCCAGCTTGACACCCGTTCCATGGGTTCTGGTCTTGTACAGGGCTTCATCATCCAAAGACTGGAGTAGAGAACCAGCCATGTTGGGCTCCATGCTTACTAACAAGGAAGAAACGTTTGAGTGGCAAGGAGAGAATGACAGGAGGGAATGATGGCCATTGTCTTCCTAGAATTCACCCTACAGGGAAGCAGAACCAAACGTTCTCCGGTTACTATTCTTCATTTCAGGAGATCTGACTTCAACTACCGGAGGGAAAAAGTCGGAAGGCTTTGAAAGGAATTGGGGGGCGGGGGTTTGGGAGATTCTCAGAAAGGAGATTATTATTAAGGCCCCAATGCAAATCATCCTAAAGAAAAACGGTTAAAAATGGGACGGTCCTGATGAAGCCGCCAAGGGTCACAAACGACTCTCTATCAACAAGAAACGAAAAGGACACATCTGAAGAATGGAAAGCGGGGCATTTTACAAAAGTAGAATATCAGAGCAAGGGTATTTTCTTTTTCTTTTCTTTTTTACCATTGCTAAGAAAAGATGGGGAAAAGATGACAAGCAATGGGGAGAAGCTGGAACTACTTAATTTTGCATCTCTTGTGGCCGCGGGAAACCATGGCCCAGGGAAGCGGGGAGGGAGCAGCCAGGTCCAGCCGAAGTACAGAGGAAGGGCCAGGAGACGGGAGAAGAATTCGGGCTCCCAGCTTTAAAAACAAGTGGAGGCAGAAAACAGCAAATCAAGCAGCTTTGGCTGGAATATCTGGGGAAATTCTAGAAAAGATCTCGAGCAGCCAGTTTGCATGCACTTAGGTAGGAACAGGAGGCCCTGAAGGGTTTATTAAAGTTAAGTCAGGCCAGGCAAATCTTAGAGCTCTTCTTTCCTTTTTTTTACAGAGAGGCTAGATTTGTGGACCAGGGTGGGTGTGAAGCGCCTAGACTTCATCTGATGATGCCGACATAGCCTCTCTTTGATCCGATGGAACAAGGTGAGATGGATGGTCCGCTATTGGACAGGTTCAGTTGATTGGAAAACCACACGCAGCGTAGGGTCCTTAATGCTTCCACTGTATCCCCTTCATCCCACTGCTGAGCTTACTATTAGGAAATGTCTTTCTATCATTCCACGAGAATCTCTTTTCCTTTCACTTAAGATCATTCTTGCACGGACTCTTCTGAGAGGCCTTTTTTTGGGGCATTTGGAAAGGGCTACTATCTTCTCCAGACTAAACCTGCTGATCTTCTTCAGTCTCTTCATAGCGCTGACTTTCTAATCCTCTGATCTCTGCCCTTCTTTGATCCCTTCCCTAGCACATCTTCAACTTTAGTGACCGGAACAGTGCACAATACTTGAGGTAAGTCAGAGAACCCAGTCAGAGAACGAGGGACAGTTATAGCCATGATTTGAAGATGATTGACACAACCCAAGTTTGCATTTCCCTTACTTGTAACCATCGTATCATTGTGATATTTCAAAGTCTTTCTCATAATGATCATTAATAATCCCAGGATGCTCTTTCTATATGAGTGCAATTGATTTTTATTTCCAGTGGAAATGAAAGTGGAAAGACTTAGATATACAAAATATGTTGGCTTTCCATCTGACCTCATTTCCTCCAAAGAGAGCTTCTGGCAACTACCTGAAGATGCTGAGAATTCTTCTCTTAATAGCTCCAATTACAGAACTTCAACATTGATTACTATTATATTACATTATTGTATTTTAAAAGTAACTATCTGTGCAATCGATTTTGACTCTTAGCAAACACCTGGACAAGTCCACACAGTTTTCTTAGCAAAATTTCAAGTGGTTTGTCATTGCCTCCTCCCTAGGGCTGACAGAAAGTGACTGGCCCAAGGTCACTCACTGGTTTTGCACTCATGGCGGAACTAGAACTCAGAATCTCCCCCTTTCTAGTGTCAACCCTGAAGCTGATCTGGCTGGAGCCATCTTGGAGCTTCCGTGCTGCCACACTGAGCTGAGGGATAGGGAGGGGGGATTAGAGATAGTAGTCAAAACAAAATATTTTCTCTTGGGAACCAAGGACACCCTCACACCTGGTCGGAGGAAGGAGGAGTGATGTCACCAGATTAGCAGATGCTGCCTTGATTGGGACATGTGACTGATTTTTTAGGGTTGAGGAAAAAACTTTTACTTTTAATTAGGTGAAAACTAAGGGCCCCTCAGAGTTGGTTTTCACCAGATATGTGCCAATACGACATTTCCAACAAAGCTTTTCTTTGAGGAATTTACCTGCCTCGGAGTTTTTGCTTGTAATGGATCTTTTACTTGGAACCCTGACATTTAGCCTAGTGCTTTAACCAGTACACAAAACTGGTTCAAAAATGTATCGTTATTACCATATAATAATATAATACTATAATATTATTTGTAAGATTTCTATCCCATCTTTCCCCCCTGAACTCAAAGAAGCCCCCTCCTCATTTGCTGCTGCTACTTTATTCACAACAGGCTGACGGGCAACAAGGCATTTTAATGCCATCCACTCAAACTCTCCATAACTCCCCTGCAAGATCTGGATTCCACAACAAACCAGGTTTTTCTCCATTTGTAGTTTTTTAAAATGACTAGATTCCTTTTCAAGTTTGAGAGTGGGATTTTAAGATGCAAAAATAGCAGTTTCAGGAACACTCCGAATATCTGCTGCAAAATCCTTAACTAATATGGAGATAAATGCATATTTGAACTATTCAGTCTTCTTGAGGACCATCAAAATTCCTCCTGGCATTTTATTTTAGTTTATTTAGCAATCCAATCTAAGTGATTGCTCTCCAATGAGCTAGGGTGCCTGCCAGCATCGTGGTCAACATTCTTCCTTCTGATATCTAGGTCAGATAGGTTAGGAGAGAGATGCAGTCAGGTCTCTCCTAGATTGAAATAATATTTCATGGGAAAAGGAATCTCACCTGGCTCTTCCTCATAGTCCTCCACTCCTTGCACCATCTCCCCTGCGTCCAGATCGACACGTTGCTCTTTACTGTTGCGCAAAGTCCAGCAAAGACGATAAAGCTGTTCAGGAAACAAAAACCACAACAATGAAGCAGCTGAAATGACCTTGAATGAGGTCAAGACGAGGCCCCAGACTTGGATCAAAAGAGGCGACCAGAAGTGCCCTGGTAACTCCACTACTCCTACTCTCTCTGTACCCAATACCTCTAGCAGAAAAATACAAGGCGTTCTATAGCTGCTCATGCAGTGTTTGTCAGAGTATATTCATGAACTGGCAGAGACATGGTTAACAAAGTCAGCAAGCGAGTAAGCATGGCAACAGACCAGCCAATGGAAGCTGATTGTGGGCTGGGCGTGGTTTGGCTCTGCGTGCTTTGCTAAGAAGTGAAACTAAACCTAACTTGCTTGCTTACTGAAACTGATATCTGTTCTGAGACGCTGTTTGTGTTTGTGTTTGCTTGTAACCGTTCCACACTGGAAGAAACCAATGGTGCTGTACATTTACTTATTTTATATAAAAGGAAGTTAATGAATCCTGCTGAGTCAGTCATTTGTGTGTTTTTCCGGACTTGAATTTATGCTGCAAACTGTAACAGGGTGGAACTTCCCAACCAGACAGAACTGGGGAGATGCATCCTCAGGAAGCATCTTCTCTAACATGGCTTCAAAGGGGTTTCCTCCCACCCAGCTGGCTTTCACTTCCGCTGAACTGGAGGTGTGGCTGCCTCAGAACTGAGAGCCCCCAAGGTGGATGTGAAGGGAAAATGGCCCGTCCTTTTATGCTCCATGTTGGGCATTCACAAGAGGCTTGGTTGGACGGAGGCCTGGCCAGCCCCTATATGTTGGTCAAGATATTTCTTGACCAAAATCTTAGCGAGGGCAGGGAAGAGAGAAGTGAGGTGGGACAGGGGGGTGTCAGGAAGAGGAGGGCATTGCTTACATGGACATCATCGATTGGCTTGGTCAGGAATGAGACGATCAGAATGATGGTGAGAGAGACAGCAAAAAGGATGATAGCAAAATAGAGGTAGTGCACTTTACAGATGATCGCTGGACATTCACTGGGCACAGCGCAGCTGCCGGTTCCATAGGCAAATTCTGCAAACATTCGACACAGCCCAATTACCAGTCCCACTATCAGGCCCCAGAAGGCACCCTGCGAAAGACAATACAATGCAATTAGGGGAACCTTTTCCTCCGCACGTCCTCTTGTCTTATTCCTCACAACTGCAGCGTGATTCTTTGGGCTCACAGTTGTACCTATTGTGATAGATAGATAGATATAGAAGGGTTGAACTTGAGATAGTCCTTGGAGGTCAGCTAGTCCAACCCCCTCTCCTTCTCTCTCGAGTAGGAGAGAAAAAAACACCCTCCGGTGCTCCGTCCTGCCAGGGTTTCTGGCTTGGCACCAGGGCTAGGAGCCTCCTAGGGACCGATTGCTCCGGCGCGCTCAGTTAAGAAGTGGATCATCCGGCCAATTGATTGCATCTCTCCAGCCTAATAAATCTGGCGGCAGCCGAAATAACTACACTGATCCAGCACAGGCGTTACTCAGATAGGAAGCCTCGTGACAGGTAAGCAAAGTTCTTAAAGCAAACTTAAGATGAACGCCTCCATCAGCCAGCGGAAAGGTGGCAGCCTGTGAGATGGACTAGTCGCCTCTTTCCCTGGCTGCCGCTGCCACTTGTTCCTCCTCTTGTGCCACGGAAACCACACCCCTTCCGTGTCCTGGGCACAAACACTCCTCCTTTTGTGAAGGGAGTGGTACGCAGAGCTTCTGTGGGCTAGGAGACCCTCCAGCCTTGAAGCCAACGGGACCTCCAGCTTCCTTTTGGCTCCCTCCAGCTGGAGAGGCAGAGAAAGAAAGGGGCCCCACGCAGCAGGGGTTGACCCCCCCCCACCCCCCACCCCAGCCAAGGGCCAGCTGCTCACCTGCTCATTGACTCTCTTGCAGAAGATGGCCAGGAAGAAGACAGCGGCAATGGGTGGGCCCAGGTAGCTGGTGATGGATTGGATGTAGTCAAAGAGCTGCCCACCCTGCGCAGACTGGATCACGGGCACCCAGGCAATGCTGACGCCAATCAGGCCCAGGATGAACAGCCTGGGAGGAGGAGAAGGCAGAGAGAGGCATTGGGGGATGCCAACTCAGTCAACGAATCCAAGAAACTACCTTGGCAGACGGATCCCAGCCCTACTTATCCACAATTCGTTTCAGGGGCGGCTGCTATATTTACATTTATTCATAGGTGCACGACTGCAAAGGTGTGCTTTGCTGAATTTTTCTATTTTTGTTTCTTTTTTCAGCTTTTTCCTTCTATGAATATTGTGTGTTCCTTTTCTTTGTTTTTTTGTCTTTAGTTAATTGCAAAAAGAAAACAGCAGAAAGAGTGTGACTGTGAAAGTGCAAATGAACTCCTGCCCATCTTGTACCTGCATTGCCCAGAGAAAATAGGGCAGGGGGGGTGTCAATTTGACTTTTTTTGATCTCCCCTCCAGACCCCCCTCCCCTTGTTTAAAGGGGAAAATAAGCCTAAATCTCAATAAACAGCCCGAACAACTGAGCCCCTGGGCAGGTTGTCCCTCCTGTCAATCAGCTCCTTTGTAAAGAGGAGACAGGAAAGTCGCCAATCCTTCTTGCTGATTCTGTAAGACGCGCCTTCAGTTAAGCCAGGTGGCCTCCAGGGGGCTCTCTGGTCCGAATCTCTTGTAGGTTTTAGAGAAGAGGCGGCCAGAGTGGCCCCCCCCCACCTGCAATTTCCAGGTGAAGAGCAGCATGCAGAGGAAAGATAAAAGCCATTCCTGGCTAGGCAACATGGCACCAGGGGCTCCAAAGTCAGGCTATTTCCCCCTCGTCCCACCCCCGACGACTTGCTCGGGTCAGTGTGTTATTTCCAGAGCCTGGAGACCCGGGGGGGGGGGGGGGCAAACGTTTTTTCTACCGGTTCTGTGGGCGTGGCTTGGTGGGCGTGGCATGGGAGGAATATACTGCAAAATCCCCCTTCCCTCCCCACCCCACTAACCTGCTTTCCAGCTCCGTTCTCCTGGGCAGGGCAACCAAAGGAGACCCCAGCTGATCAGCTGGGACTCAATGGGAGGCAGAGAAGAGATGGGGTTGGCGGGGCCAGTCGGAGCCAGGCGGGATTGGCCGGTTCTCCCAACCACTCAATATTTCCACTACCAGTTCTCCACAACTGGTCAGAACCAGCTGAATCCTCCCTCTGCTGGAGACCCACAAAAGCAAAGGGGAAGCATTTGGGCAGGTGGACCCATAGGTTTCCCAAATGCCCCAAGGGTTCAGCCGCCCTGGTCTTGGGATCCAGCTGACCTTTCTTGCAATTTCCCCTCTGCTGAGTCTTCACTGCTGCCTCTGCTGCCGCCCAGCCCTTACCTGCCGACGATCATGAGCTCCCTCTCCTTGGCGGTGGAGCGTATTTTGGTGTAGATGTCCATGGTGAAGAGGGTGCTGGCACTATTAAAGATGGAAGTGAGGGAGCTCATCAGTGAAGCCAGCATCACAGAGAGCATCAGGCCTCGCAGCCCTGAAAAATAAGGCGAGGGGTGTGTGAAACAGGCAAAGGTTCGGTGTGAGCGTTGAGGGTTACAGGCTGGCAGCCCAGCCACATGGGTGAGAGAACTCAACCGTCTGGCCTGGCAACTGAACGCACTGCTGGGAAAAGGCTGTGGGACCAAGGAGCCCCCTCATCATGCCCTGAAGCCGGGGTGTCAAACTCGATTTCATTGAGGGCCGCATCAGGGTTGTGTTGGACCTCGGGGGACCAGGGGGGACTCCCAATCTCCATTTCCTGCCGGGGGGGCCTCATGCAACCCTCTGCCAGCCAAAACGGAGTTCGGGAGCCCTCACGAGCTTAATAAAAAAAAGCCACTACACATCACAATCGCTTTAGGATCAACCTGGCATCCACACACGGGTCCTGTTGTGGTTCGCCAGCAGCAGGTGCGGACGGCAGAGGTATCGGACAGCAAGGACGAAAGGGAACCAGTCAGAGAGTCTGGCGAGGACTTGGACAAGGGGCCTGAGTGTGATGCAGGACCACACTCAGTCCGGCATCAATGAAGCAGAGGACCCCGGGGAGCCTGTGCCCAGTGCGCATGTGCTCGGGGCTGCTCGAAGGAGAGAGCAGCTGAAGCAGCAAGGACGACTCGGGAGAAAGGCTATCCCTCCCATAAGGGATAAAAACCAGCCCTCGGGGATGTGTTCTTTGCAGGAAGCAAAGAAGTTCTTTAGACTCTGAGCCCTCGTTGAAGCCCTGCGAACTCCGGTTTATTTTTGAAACTTCTGTCAGATGATATTTATCAGTAATTAGACTTCTGTTCTTGGCAGCCTTTCACAACCTTCAAAGGGCTTGCTTTTATCTCAGACAATTAGGTTTAAATGACTCTTGGCTGGGAATGCACAGAATTCCCAGCGCCATATTAAAAAGGTTTGCTTTGATACACAGTTTGTATTTGTTTAGTTTGAACAAGGCTTGGGTCAGAACAAATCCCCTTTTTATAGCCGACTGTGGGCAGAAGGCAGCCTGAAGGCCCCTCATAATGCACAGCCTTTAGGACACACCATCCTGGGCAACAGACCTTAACCAGCCTTGCAGTCCAAGGCACAAACAAGCCAACCCGCTGGCCTCATCTCACCGTCTGGCATGAGTTCCACCACCATCGTTGGATAGGCGATGTTTGTACAGCCAACCTCTGTCCCACAAGCCTTCTTGCACACCGAGGGAACGACACACGCCACTCTATCTGTGAACCCAAAAACAGGAAAGTGTGGGCCCCATGAGGGAGCTGAGCAAGTTGGCCTCCCTCTGCCCTCTGCCCTCTGGGTGGCCCAGCTCTCACCTCGGTAGAGAATGCGGCTGATCATGCCTGGCATCACCATCAGGAACATGGGCAGCAACTTCAAGTAGCCGCACATGATGCAGCCAGCCTTGACATGGGACATGTTTTTCCCCGAGAGGCATCGCTGGACAATGACCTGCCCAAGAGAGGAGCTAATGAACAAGCACCAAGACAGAACACAGGGCCTGGACTCTTAGGGTTGGAAGGGTCCTTGGAGGTCGTCTAGTCCAACCCCCTGCCCACGCAGGAGACCCGGCACCATTCCATACGAATGGCTGTCCAGGACGAGGCCTCTGGCTCTGGGCCAGGATTTTTCCACCAGGGTTGGATCTGGAGATTCCAACATCACATCTTTACTCTTTTTTTTATCATTTTTTTTATTTTGACAACAAAAATTGATAAACACAAACACAAAACATCAAATAAAACCATCTTTCCATTGTACAGTATGTTGGTTGGTATATATCTTTGTGCATGATATTAGTAGTCTTTTCCTTCTAAATTTAGATTAGAATTCATATTATATAGAACAACTATGCATATTATATTATATTATATTACTTATTATATTTTTTTATTTTATTTTATTATTATATTATATTATATTATTGTCAAATCATTATTAGACCGTCATCCTTTTCGAGCAAATTTCAACTTTTACAAAACCTAGTTCATAATATCATTCATTTCACTGTGATCAATTATAACATATCATTGCATTATATTATCTTTACTATTATGTTATATTTATATTATAATGTATTTTACTTCTCTATTTTCTTATCTAGCCATTGATAAAATAAATCCCAAATTTTATAATATTCTTTATCTTCTTGCTCTCTAATTGCTAATGTCAATTTACTCATTTCTGCATGTTCCATTCTTTTCTTAATCACTTCCTCTTCTATCGGATTTTTTTTCATTTTTCCAATTTTGAGCAGATACAATCCTAGCTGCTGTTAAAACATTAATAATCAAATATATCAATTCTCTACTGTATCCTTCAGGTAAGATACCCAATAAAAATATCTCTGGTTTCAAGTCTATATGCTGTCATTTTGTCATTTTTTCCAGCCATGTATGAATTTTAGTCCGGTATCTTTTGGCTTCCACACACGTCCACCACATGTGATAATATGATCCAGGTATCTGATGACACTTCCAACATTTCTCCTGTTTGTTCTTGAACATCCTTGCTCTTCTTGTGGGGGACAAATGCCACCTGTTTCCTTACTCTTATGGCAAGAATGCTTTACTTCCATGAATTATAGGGAAATCTTTTGGTTCTATAAGCCCACCTCCCCAGCCCCTTGGCATAGCCACTGGTGGGTGCAGCTTTTTCCCTAAAACGTTCAGGCTAGATTCATATGACGCACTGAGCCACAAACTAGTCGAGTAGATTTTCAACTTCTGGTTGTACCAATTAGTTTACAATTCCACGTATCCTGAAAATCAGCTTCGTTCCATAAGCCACAGTTCAGTTAACGTACTCAACATCATGCAATCAAACCACAGTTTGGAATATGAATGTAAATTTAAATCTAAGAGGAAAAGACTATAGATATTGTGCACGAGAAATATGTACCAACCGACGGACACGCTGTATAATTGAAAGAAGGTTTTATTTGTTGTTTTATGTTTATGTTTGTCTATGTTTGTTGTTAGAAATAAAAAAAAACTTTAAAAAAACAACCCATAGTTTGGGCGTAGACTCTCGGAATGTCTGGATTTATTTCATGAATTCATTTCAATGCCAGCCAGAGACTAAGCATTGGCACCAGTGATGCCCTTCTAGATGGCATCCAAAGACCAGCCTGCCTCTGCCCAGCACAAGGCCACCCTCAGCTTTAGAAGCCCACTTTGGAAGGGGGAACTAGGGCAGAGATCTGGGCCTGTGAGTCCAGATCTTAATGCCCCAGTTCAGGGGTCCCCAAACTTAGCCACTTTAAGACTTGTGGATTTCAACTCCCAGTATTCTCCAGCCAGGCTGGAGAATTCTGGGAGTTGAAGTCCACAAGTCTTAAAGTGGCCAAGTTTGGAGACCTCTGCCCTAGTTCCTAAAACCAAAGCATTGTCTCTTTTGGTCTCCAAGCACAGGATCAGGATGAGCCCACCGAGAAGCCCTGTGGGCGGGGAACATCATAAGCACCAAGAGTATCATGGCCCTACCTGGTCAGTGCACCAATACCACAAGGCCAGAATGCTCAAGCCAAAGATGAGTCCAGGCCAAGGGAGGTCGCCGTCCACCGGGTCCCGGAAAATGTGGAAGGCATCTGGACGGGGAGTGTAGCACTTTTCGGGGATGGTCACGTTATTGTAGGAGATGTTGGCTGGGATTGCTGTCATGTACTTCTCCAGCAGGCCCTCATATCCCCCGACTTCTTTAAAAGCTGCGGAAGGTGATACAATCAGTCAGGGTAAGGAAGCCTGTGAGGAAACAGAAGCGTTCTCCTCCTCTCCCGCAAACCCATGGGGTTAGACACACATCAGCTCAGGCAGGGACTGTAGTAAAGACAGAATTGGACCATTTCCTAGGGCAGAGGTCTCCAAACTTGGCCACTTTAAGACTTGTGGACTTCAACTCCAGAATTCTCCAGCCAGCATAGTATTCCAGTATTTGGGGTGTGTGTGTGTGTGTGTGTGTGTGTGTGTGTGTGTGTGTGTGTGTG